AAATGTTTTTTATCGGTCCCCAGATAAAAGTATTGTTAGGTGACTAATATAAAACCACTGCAGAAGATTAGGAAATACATCTTACCCTCTGCTTGGTTGTATCCTGGGTGTGTCTCAGTTCCATTCTCAAACTGGTGTGCCTCAGCTGTGTCGCATCAATGGCCAATGAGGTGTCAGACACTTCTCCCTCAGTTCAGCAGACTACACGTGGCAATGGCTTGCTGCTGCCTTCCTCAGCTACCAAATCTAAAGACTATAAACATACAAGACTACACCATATAATAGTATGCAGACACAAATAAAACCTCATAACTCATATACTTTAGTTAAAGGGCCAATCCACCAACCATATATTTAGTGGTGTCAAGCCATGCAGCTAGTTTTGGTTGTACTGTCTGTCCAGCTTTTCAGATACTTTTAGAAGACAGCAGTGCAAGTTAACACTGAAAAATAACATTTTATAAAAACAGGTTTCCTTGGATAATCCCCACAGTTATTACTTTAGTAGAAGTCCATCCGAATACAGTTTGTCCTAGAGATTATCCCAGTAGTTGTGGGGAGTAACTAGTTACTGTAATAAAATTACAAAAAAGTAACTAATCATTTAGCTACTGGGAAAAAATGTAATCAAATTACAGTTACTAATCAAAATAATAATAATTACATGGGGTATCCAAATATATCCTTTTCAGTAAAAAGATTAGAACATAATCATCTTTTCATGGCACAGGAATGCATAATTTCCAGACATGTTCTGGATCAACACAGCCATTTGGACAAATGAAACCATCAAGGGTAGAATGCTTATGAGTGGTCTCTAGATAGGCTCCATTCATCTGGCAGCATGAGTTAAATTGTGAATAAATTATATATTTTTTAATCAGTTAATGTAAAAAGCTGAGAACATTCATTCTGTTGCTTTATGAAGTAACTAAACTGTTACATTACTCATTACATTCTTAAGTGGGGAACTAGCAATCAGTAACCTGTAACATTTCAAAAGAAGCCTTCCAAAAACTGGCACGCATTGTAATGACAACTAAGATTTTTTTTTGCCAAATTGCAACATTATTTTTAATAAGGCATTGCTGTTGAATTTCCTAAATGTGTGGTTGCAGCAGAAATCTCTGGTGAATATCTTAAAACTTAGGCAAGCAAAACCAAAACTACATGGCTAGATTGCAACAGCACGAAGTACAGTAATAATATGTTGCTAACATTCAGTGGGGTTACATCTGTGCTTATTAGCATCTGTATTATACATTGCTGCTGTCCTGGAATAGATAAGGATAATTTACTGACTTCCACTGGGAATTCAGATGATCAGGTCATTTAAACAAAAGTCCACTCAGCTATTCAGGCTGTAGTCTGTGTCTTGCTCAAGGGCTTCATGGCAGAATGTCCCATTTTAAAGCTCTGTCACAGTGGAGACACTTTGGACTTTATGATGTTGTAAAAACACCTGAACAAGCACAGCCTGTCACACAATGTAAACACATACTGATGCAAACATATACACAAACCCTTCCTCACAAATACGGTGATTCCTTAAGTCAAGGCTCACTGACTATTACCCCACTAAAACAGCCATTAGTAAGCACAGCAACCTGCTAATGCTTCTGCCTCTCACAGCCAAACAAACAGTGATGAGGTGTTTGCCACCACTGCTTCCTGCTGTTATAGTGCTGGCGTAGGCCTCTGCAGCCATCATCGAGGCTGATTCCCATTAGAACAAGCCTATTTGGCTTGCATTACAAACCCATTCAATCAGGCAGCCACACTCTGCTTTTCCCTTTAAGCCCGGAGGCTGAGAGTGTATCCAGCCACTGTCGTTCAATAAGTGAATGGGTTATTGCAGTTGAGTCTCTGTATCAACCTCATTTTCTCTGAGCTTAGGGGGAAAAAACATTTTTTACAATTGTTGTCAATTTGTATTTATATCCCATTTTAAAATAAGATGAAGAACTGTATACACTGTTTACTCATCGAATATGCAGCAGTCACGGGTGAATGGGGTGATTTCCGTGTTTGATGGCAGACAGGTGTGGAGGGGCAGCCATTCATCCTGCCAGTCGTGCTGCCAGAAAGACCTCTCCTGGCACTGTGAGCGGAGGCTCATCACGCCCTTCATGGTACGCTCGAGTGTCATCACTTGTGAGGACCTATGCTACATCTCATGAAGCAGCCCCACGTAGCCTCGCAGCAACCAGATGGTGACTGTTAGGACCCAGTTGTGAACTGCCTTGAGTGGTGTGGCTGTAAAGGCACAGATTCAGTGTCATTAATTTATAACTTATCACTCTTCATCACACAAATATGTGATTGGTCTGCAGAGGGGGGAAAGGGCTCTCATGCCCCTAGGCAGTCTGTCCTACATTTCTCTTTGTACTCCTCCTCAGAATGTTTCTAATTAGCTTATTACTATACTTTACTGCACTGATTCTGAAACAGGGTTTGGATGAAATCAACAAAACAAATGAAATGAAACCTGTTCTGTGCAGCTGCTGTATTATCACAGACCAACTGGAACAAGCAGAAACAACATTTGGCTAGCTTAAACAGATTTGAACAGCTGTGGGAAAACTGATAAAAAGTGGTACTGTGAAGAGTTTAACATTATGAAGGTTGAGCCAAAAAAACTTGCTGATATATATTTAACTTGAAAAATACAACAAGAAATGGAATACACAGGTGGGGTGGATCCATTTAGACTGACATGTTCTTCCTGCCGTAACCACGTTTCAGTAAGACAAAATAAATCAATATGATGTTCACTTATCAAATCATTCACTAACAGAGATTTGGAGGAGATCTGATATTTAATAGCCCACATTTAATTGTCCTGTTATTTTCTACTGTAAGAAGAGTAGTCTTAATTTTAATTAGCTTCTTATGAATAACTCCTCCTGAGTTATTATTATTTATATAATTTAGGTGGTCGTGGGGCAGACACAGTCTCTGTGGGGTACTGGGAGGTTTGGGTGGGTAGCAGCTGCAGAGAGACAGCAGAGAGGCGTGTAACACTGCGACCCTGCATCCTGGACTCAACTTTGAGAAAACCACACCGACTAAACATTAATTTCAGTGAACTCTGACTGGCGAAGTCAGAAGTCATTAGCACCGACGTGAATAAAGACCTTACTGTATTTACACTTATCCTTAGTCAGCAGCTTCAAGCAGGATGCAATGTCGCCTGCTCTGGCTCCAGGTAGTGATGGCCCTATAACACCCGAGGCTCCGACACATGCGCGGTAGCTCATAAAGCAATTGTTTCGAACCTCTGTGCTGAGGCGTGTTTCGGTCACGTGGCTAATGACGTTTGAATCACTTGAGTGACGTCTGAAGCAGTTGGGTTCGTCGGACGTCAGATGAATCAGCTGATTGGTTCGGTTTGTCATGTGAATCACTTTGGATTGAGTGTGATCAGAGATAGGATATCCCTATTTAGTGGCGTTCATTTGAATCTGTCTTTGCAGAGTAAGTTGGTTTGTTGCTTTGAGAGTTTGTAGTGTTGTAGCAGATTGTGTATTTAGTGGAGAATCACTGTAGATAGAGAGATAGATCAATAGATAGCTAGATAGTAAGTTAGAGAGAAATAGATAAAGTAGTTACATAGTTAGATAACACTAGATTTAGTTACATAGATAGTCATAAATAAGGTTAGATATAGATAAGATATGGATATATTACATACAGTATATAGATAATATATATAGATATAGATATATTGCATATATAGTTACCCAAACCTCTATGAATTATCCAAGCATTTCCTGTGTACCC